AAGGTGATGGAAGGCCAAATCTGTGAGATTAAGAAAGTAGCGAGAGTTAACGCTACTAAATCCAACACAGACACCCTTGGAGATACGTTGTTTGTTAATCTGAACAGATCAATCACGTTTAAAGCATTCGGCCTCATAAGGAAAGAAATGCAAGTTTTACAAGAAATGGGTCAGGATCCAACAACGTGTGGTTGCTACCTAAGGAGAACTCATGGTCTACCGTGCGCACATGAGCTTCAGTACTACATCATAAATGGGTATAGCATTTCGTTGGATCAAATACATGATTATTGGAAAAAGTTAGATATCCAGTTTCCAATATTTCCTATTGATGCCGCGGATGGATCCCCGGCTCCACCAAATCCAGTGAGGAGGGCGTTGTTCGAAGAAGTCCCTGATATTACTGCACCTCCTACTGCTAAAAAGAAAACCAAGGGTAAAAAGCTCTCTAGTCTCCGTGTACCTTCGGCGTGGGAGAGGGTTGTGAAACAGTACGGATTTAAAAAGTCTCCAAACAAAAAGGTAATACTACATAACTTATGAATTTCTATATTTGAAAATTATGATTTATATTAGTTACTAATTTATTATTCTCAATTTAACATTGTCAACCTATGCATTTGTAAAGGGCCCTGGACGTGTTGCTTCTATCTCTGCATCACAGGGGAGTCCAATGAGCACATCCCAACGTACGGGGCCACCAGTATCACCATCTTCTCCAAATACATCGTGCTCAAGGCCTCCAATGTCAACCCCTTCTTCCAAAGGCACCACATTCATCTTTAAGAATTTTGTATTTGAGAGAAAATTCCCGCCCTACATTAGAAAATACATAGATCAATGCACAGATGTAGCGGGAAATTGTGGATTTAGAGCGGTGGCTCTAGCAATTTACGGAACAGAAGATGATTGGGTTAAAGTTAGACAAGACTTAGTAGCAGATCTACAGAATAGAAGCGCCTTGTACGCTCGAATCTTAGGTGGGAGGAGTGCGAGGAGTTCTAATGTGACTAATCTCATCCAATCGATTGCTCACTACCATGGACCAGCGGATGATGATTACTGGATGGCGGTACCGGATTGCGGTCACGTAATTGCAACAACATTTAATGTTGTTTTCATAACATTCAGTGAACATGGAGGAAATACTTGTTTGCCAGCGATATTAGATGAAACACAAGGACCTCCAACCCGAAAGGTGGTGTGCGGACATCTTAGCAATGATCATTGGATTTTGGTAAGAAAATTACACTAGTCGACGATCATATAAACAAGTTGAATTTTAACTTTAATTTTTTATATAAGAATATAACTTCAATATTTGTACATTTTTTTCCAGTTGCATATGAAACCAGGGGATCATCCGGTACCACCCATAGCATTTTACTGGAACGACCATCACGACAAATCTGCAGATGGTTTAGATGCACAATTTGCATTCTCGATCGGTCACTTTAACCGTCTCCACAATGAAGATGGAGAACGTCGAGCAGCAACAAGAAGAAGAAAGAACAATTAATTAGGATCGAAAAAACAATTGATGTATTTCGTTGAGTAGATTAATACTTTGATTTTCTAATAAATTTTATTATTATCCTTCATTATAGACTAACACTTCAAACATTTCAAACACTTCAACAAATTTTATTAACGATTTTAAAAATTCAAATTATATTAAAATTAAACCAACATTTATATATGTTCTAAAAAAAATTAATTTTTTTAATAACACTTCAATGATTTTTTATGACCCACGGATTATAATGGATTAATTTTTTTTATAACACTTCAATGATTTTTTTAATAACACTTAAAAAATATCATTAAAATGTCGTTTGACGCGATGATGTTCTCCTTCGAAAAACATCATTCGTTAAACAACATTTTAATTCGAAAAAAAAACAGAGAAGCAGCAATTAATTGTGTATTGATTGCTGTCTTTTATTCGAAAAACCGGACACGAAAAAAGATAGCAATTAATTGTGCATTGATGGACCCATGGAACTGAACAATTAATTACCCACAAAGACAGAGCAATTAATTACCCACATAGAGAAGGGCAATTTAGTCCATTTACACCCCCAAAGTTACTGTTTGAGAGTGTAAATAGTTGGACCCCTTGTTTAGCGACTGAATGGGTTTGGGGTTCGGGTGTTCAAGTGGGTTTAGCGACTGAATGATTTTTGGTTCGGGTGTTCAAGCGGGTTTCGGGTCTCTTCTTTAACAAACCCTTATAGCCTGTTTGGATGGAGGGTAGAGAGGGGGAAGGGAAGGGAAGGGAAGGGAAATTTCATTTTAACCTTGTTTGGGAGTTTTATTTTGGAGGGTAGAGGAGGGGAATGGAGGGGAAATTTGGTCCAAATTCTTACACCCCAAATTGGGGTGTAATGGAGGGGAAGGGAAGGAAGGGGAAAAATTCCCCTTCCTTCCCCTTCCTTCCCTTCCCTAAGTAAACTCCCAAACACACCATTAATATTTTAGGGTTTTTCTCCCCTCAATGTTGGCTTTGCTCCTCTCCTCAACTCTTACCCCAATCTGCTGACAGTTGAAGATCTAAGGACGCCGACGACGCCGACTGACGACGCTGACGACGCCGCCCACCGCCGCCGACTCCTTCGCCTCCGGATCCGCCTCCGACCGACCAGGTTTTTTTCAGTTTTTTTATTTTCTTTTTTTCTTCTTTTTTCGTTTTGACAATAATTTGTTCTCTTTTTTTTTGCACTGATGTTTTCTTGTTTTCTTCTTGTTTTCTTGTTTTCTTCTTTTTTCGTTTTGAAAATAATCTATTTTCCCTTATGTTTTTTTTACCGTTGCAAAGACATACTCAAGTTTTTTTCCCCTTTTCCCCTCCCTTTCTTGTTTTCTTTCTTTCTTTCATCTTTTTTTCTCTTTTACTTTTTTTTTCCGGTTTTTGTTGTGTTGATGAATGCGATACTAAAGAGTGCAGTGGTGTGTTCTAATTCCTGGGGTTTGCTGATCATTGTGGAAGTAATATGAGGTTGAATGTACCTATAAATTGAAATAACATCACTGTGTAGATAATTTGTAACTCAAACCCTCTATGTTCGTTATGGCGATCCCAGGATATCGAGTCCGAGTCCAAGCCTCGTCCGACCTCGCACTACCGGAAAAGGGTTTTGGCATTCTCATGATTATTTTAAAATCCGTCAACAGCCGTTGCCTACTCTTTCTAACGCCTATAAAAGGAAGAAATCGAGCTTGCAATTCTATTTCACGCCCAAGCTCTCATTTTGCCCTCAAATATCCCCAAATTCTAGGGCAAAATCGCATCGCTGTAAGTCAAATTTTTTGCTTAATCTGTTTCCTTTTTTAAATTGGTTTTAGCGATTATCTTGTTTATTTAGCTTCAATTTCTCTGTTATTGATATCGAATGTAGTGCGAATTTCCTTCTTTTTAGGAACTAGGGTTTCATAGTTGGATGTAACTGATTGAACTTCTTCTGTGCTACATGATCTTTACTATTTTAGTTCTTTCGGCCGAATTTGTTATGATCTTGTTCATTGCTTGGTGATATTTGATGATTTGCTTTTTTCTTGATGTGATGATCCTATCATCTAATTTCATAGATGTATGCTTTTCTATTAACTCTTCTGTTAATGATACTAAGTTCTTGCTGTTAATGATACTAAATTCTTGCTGTGATACTAAGTTCTTGCTGTTAATGATGTCATGATCAATATCTTCTAATTTCGTAGATGCGTACTTTTCTATGAACTCTTTTGTTAATGATACTGAGTTCTTGCTGCGATGGATGATGAATGATTATCTGTGACCATGATATTATAGATCGCTGTGAGTGATGTTGAATGATTCTTTGTTATCATGATCGTCTAATTCGCTATTGATTGATCATCTCTTTTTAGGCTAATCTTTATCTCCCAGAAAATGGCAAATGAGAATGAGGATGCTTTGGCCTATCTTTTTTGGTGTCCTTACCTATTCCTTGAATACTTTCGATTTGTCCTTGTCCTGCCCCCTAACTGTTCCCTATAATTTGTGTCAGATTTTATTTGTCACTTGTTCTCCTTGTCCTGCCGATGTAAGCAATTTCAATTTTATGTGTTGAGTTCGTTCATGCAATTATTACTGATCAAACTAACTTTGTTTAACTTATTTAATCCTAGGAGAATCATGTTTCGTATTACTCGTAGTAAAAATGTTGGCCGAGCTAGCCCTGAAATGTACTTGCTCTCTTTCTTGGTTGCTGCCATCGAACTTATATTTGATATCTTTGATGAAGAAAGGACGCTAGTAATCGTCCTTGGGTGGATTACCTTGGCGGTCACTGCTAGCTATGTTCACATCTTTATCATATACACTTCGGGCCCCATGCGCATGAGGGTCTCTACTTATTTCATTTATCTAATACGCCATTCTCTCGATAACAAAATAGTTTGATATATTTTTTGTAGTACAAAACTCTAATATATCTTGCTAGTCAGTTGGTACTTGTTGGGGTGTTCTACAGGGTTTGGGTTATATTCTGGAGTTCAGGTTCGTGCAGATTTATACTTGCTGTCAATGTTGCTGGAGCTATGTTGTATCTGGACTTCACCAATGAATTAGTATGGTGTTTTATGTTTTTTTTCTTTTACTATTATTATTATTATTATTATGTCTTATACTGGTTGATTGGATATGACTATTTGAAGGATTTTCTAAAGGCTTTTTACAACCAACTCATGAGCGGAGTTCATTTGAGGCTCGAGTCAATCTTGCAAATTGTTGTGTCCCTTGGAAACAGTGGTTGTTGGATGGCTTATTCGCTAAGTTCCGACCAATTTCATGAAGCACTTGTTATGCTTGGTTTCTGCAACTGCAATCGATGCATCTAGTTGATAAGTCTCTGGTTAGTTTTATCTTCTTGTCAAAGTTCTGCAATACAATTACTTTTCTTGGTGTTATCTGATTTATAAATTAATCTTTGGTAAATCACTGATTTATTCAGTTTCGAGCATCCTACTTGTCAGTTACCCAAGTAGGATGCTCGAAACTGAATAAATCGGTGATTTACCAAAGATTAATTTATAAATCAGATAACAACAAGAAAAAGTAATTGTACTGTAGGTCTTTGACAAGAAGATAAAACTAACCAGAGATTTATCAAATAGATGCAGAGATTGCAGTTGCAGAAACCAAGCATTAACAAGTGTTTCGACAATGAAGGGTCATTTATGAAATTGGTCGGAACTTAGCGAATAAGCCATCCAACAACCACTGTTTCCAAGGGACACAAATGAACTCCGTTCATGAGTTGGTTGTAAAACGCCTTCAGAAAATCTTTCGAATAGTCATATCCAATCGACCAGTATAAAACATAATAATAATAATAATAATAGTAAAAGAAAGAAACATAAAACACCATACCAATTCATTGGTGAAGTCCATATACAACATAGGTCCAACAACATTGACAGCAAGTATAAATCTGCACGAACCTGAACTCCAGAATATAGCCCAAACCCCGTAGAACACCCCAACAAGTACCAGCTGACTAGCAAGATATATGAGAGTTTTGTACTACAAAAAATATATCAATCTACTTTGTTATCGAGAGAATGACGTATTAGATAAATGAAAGAAGTAGAGACCCTCATGCGCATGGGGCCCGAAGTGTATATGATAAAGATGAGAACATAGCTAGCAGTGACTGACAAAGTAATCCACCCAAGGACGATTACTAGCGTCCTTTCTTCATCAAAGATATCAAATATAAGTTCGATGGCAGCGACCAAGAAAGAGAGCAAGTACATTTCAAGGCTATATAGGCCAACATTTTTACGAGTAATACGAAACATGATTCTCCTAGGATTAAATAAGTTAAACAAAGTTAGTTTGATCAGTAATAATTGCCTGAATGAACTCAACACAGAAAATTAAAATTGCTTACATTGACGGGACAAGGAGAACAAGTGACAAAATAAAACCTGACACAAATTATAGGGAACAGTTAGGGGGCAGGACAAGGAAAAAATGGAAGTATTCAAGGAATTGGTAAGTACCCTAAAAAAGATAGGCCAAAGCATCCTCATTCTCATTTGCCATTTTCTGGGAGGTAAAGATTAGCCTAAAAAGAGATGATCGATCAATAGCGAATTAGACGATCACGATAACAAAGAATCATTCACCATCACTCACAACGATCTATAATATCATGGTCATAGATAATCATTCAGCATCCATCGCAACAAGAACTCAGTATCATTAACAGAAGAGTTCATTGAAAAGTATGCATCTACGAAATTAGAAGATATTGATCATGACATCATTAACAACAAGAACTTAGTATCACAGCAAGAATTTAGTATCATTAATAGCAAGAACTTAATATCATTAACAGAAGAGTTAATAGAAAAGCATACATCTACGAAATTAGACGATAGGATCATCAAGAAAAAAGCAAATCATCAAATATCACCAAGCAATGAACAAGATCATTACAAATTCTGCCGAAAGAACTAAAATAGTAAAAGATCATGTAGCACAGAAGAAGTTCAATCAGTTACATCCAGCTATGAAACCCTAGTTCCTAAAGGGAAGGAAATTCGCACTACATTCGATATCAATAACAGAGAAATTGAAGCTAAATAAACAAGATAATCGCTAAAATCGATTTAAAAAAGGAAACAGATTGAGCAAAAAATTTGACTTACAGCGATGCTATTTTGCCCTAGAATTTGGGGATTCTTGAGGGCAAAATGAGAGCTTGGGCGTGAAATAGAATTGCAAGCTCGATTTCTTCCTTTTATAGGCGCTAGAAAGAGCGGGCAACGGTTGACGAATTTCAAAATAATCAGGAGAATGCGAAAACCCCTTTCCGATAGCACTTGAACAGAGAGCTTTGATTGGGATTCCAAAGGACTGCTGCCAGCTGCCAGTCAATAGCACTTGGCAAGTTTCAATTCTCGGCGCGTCTCCTGCTTGTTCGCAGTATTTCGAAATGGTTCAAGTATCCCCTAGCACTTACAATGCTTACAAGTTTTAGTTTGGAATTTGCTTTTATAAAAGAGGTTATGAACCATTGAATTTGTCCGTACATTTTAACTTCTTTTGTTCACCTCTTTTAGTGATATCTTTGTGTTTTTACTGCATTTCAGATTGATAGCATGCTCCACAACCTCGAAAAAGAGATTCATGATGTAGATATTGATAAAATTAGCCACCGGTACAATTTACCTGGCAGGTGAGCAATTGTTGTACATTTTTCTTAATCATCTTACTAGCATGAAAATCTATCTGAAATATTATTTATTTTATTGCTAATTATGTTTGAATTGGTAATGGGATTATTAGGAAAGCTGTTTCATATATGAGGCCAGTTATAACATTCATATAAAATCTCCAACGAGTGACATTCATGAATTAGAGACTTTATATGAGAAACATATGTTTGCAAAAAAATTGTATCTCATCATCAACCTTAAGTTCCCCCTCTGGTTTATTAACGTGAGAAATCTTTCAAAATTATTTTCTTGCATCAAAACTCCAACTAAAAGTCAAATCTTTGCACATAATTAGTTGGAATCGTGGAACAACTTGAATGGAGGTAAATGTGGGCAGCCAGAGATTTCTTTGATAGTTCAGTTGCCATGTTAATTTGCAAGTCCATATGAAACTATTTACAATAACATCATTATAACATTGCTCCCTTCCAGATTGTATTTTGAAGTTCAGAATTAGGAACACCTACATCGATTAGTTCTAGGTCATAATGGGATGCTAGGAGCTCCTTGATTTAGGTTTCTTTTTGGAGTTAACCAACAAGACTAGTTTTTTGAATGATTTCTACAGTTTTATTATGTGTGTCAAAAATGGCTGTTGGAGAGCTTCTACGAAGTCACATATGTATAATGGGCTAAGAATTGTTGTTTTCATGTTTCGAGCTCAGAGTTAGGTATTCCTAGAACTTCTCTTTTGCTGTAGCTCTTGTGAAATTTTGAATTGAGCTTTTGGTAGAGGCAGTTCGCAGAAAACATTTGAAGATTTCATATTCCTAGAACTTCTCTTTTGCTGTTTCTTGGTTTTCATATATATTTTTGAGAAATATATATTTGCCTTGAGAGTTGCTCATCTTCCTTTGCTTTAATCGTATCATTTTTCACCATTTTCGTGGCCATATCGATTTTAGCACTGTAGGAAATTATCCTATCTTCTTCAGTCTCAAGTTTGGGTTCTAAAAATCTTGTATTACTGAGATCCCTCAGCTTTTGTGAAGGCTGTCTGCAATAAGATCCTGTATGGTCAGAGAAAGGCCTTGTTCATTTTCTAATAAGACGCTCTTATCCCACTGGTCTTTACTGATGATAATCTTGGGTAGAGATCCTCGTTGGTAGGCTTCGTTATATTGATAACGAGAAAAGCGCGTAAACTTCCAAAATTGGATGCTTAGGGCTGGGGTCAGGTGGCATGAGTGGGCACCATGCATGTTCAATTATTTGTCCATTCTTCAGTAAGGAAAGGTAGAATGCGGCCTACTAGCTATAATTGGGTTTATGTTGAAGCTCATTCATGCTTATAGTGCATGCATAAAACTGCAAAAGAAGGCATCAGGGGATGATGAACCGCTTGATCCATAGAATGCAATAAATGAAAAATCTCGCCATTATGATCGCGATCCAGGATGAAGCGATCCAAGGGAGAAGATGAAGAAATTTCTAATTGCTATGTCTAGTTAGTTATTGCATTGGTACCCATTTACTGCCTTTCTGATTACCACTTTGTACATTTAGGTATGGCCATGTGCTCCCAAAGCTGCTATATTTGCAAAATTTCCTTCCAAATTCAGATATATTTGCTTATTTATGTTAGATATTTTGTTAAGAAAAGACAATTTTGCCTTCATGGATAGTAATAAAATTTTTTATAATTAAAACATGTTTTTATTAGCAATTAAAAATATGTGTAACGGCTATATAATTATGGGGAATGTTACAAAATTTATGACGAACGTTACGGAATTAATTACGGGTTTTGTAACGTCTTTTCCAACCCTATATATATCCGTATGTTGAGCTCAAAATGATAAGAAAAAATATACAACAAGTTTCCCTTGTTTTTCTTCTCTCCCCTACATATTATTTTCTTCTACATCTTAGTTTTATTTTATGGGCAACTTCCTTCATCTGAGCTGAAGCTCTGCACTCTCGCCCGAGTGCAGAGGTCGGCCGTTTCCGGGTGCTTTTACCGTTAGGGGGAGGGAACCATCTGCGTCAGGACGATAGGCGGGTTCTCAATCTTCTAGGGCAGTGAATACACGACTGCTCCCGATCAGGCCAGTTTTAATTGTTTATTTTTTCGGATTTATCTGCATGCTATAATCTTAATTATTTGATAAATTTCCAACAATCTAGAAGATTGAGAAGTTTATAGCTTTTGCTTTTAATCCGGAAAAATTATATTAAAAAGTATTGTTCATCTAGGAAAAAATATATATATCTTTCTGTTTAAAAAAAAGAGAAAATTAATAATAGTTAATTTGTTGTAATTTGCTTTACTTGCTCTTGTTTATTTGTTAACTAATAATTTAATTTAGTTGCAATTAAAATAATATTTAAAAAAGGAAAATTTTGTTACTGTTCACCGATGGTTACTGTTCACTCGGGAATTTTCTGTTTATTAAGCAATTTTATTATTGTTCTTCTAATCTAATTGCTTTCATTATTTGTTGGCATAACTAGTAATTAATACTATTAGTTAATTGCTATAAAAAAATAGTTACTGTTCATCCAAAGCAGTTACTGTTCATCCGAGATATAAATGTTCATAGGATTAATTAGTTGTTGATTAAAATTCGAAAAAACAGTTATTTAAAAAAAACGTTACTGTTCATAAAAAGAATTCAGTTACTGTTCACCAAAATATCTTATTGCTTTAATTATTTGTTTAATATTATTGTTGTTAAAAAAAATCAAAATATTTTTTGTTACTATTCATCAAAAAATTAATTCGAGATTACAGTTTTTTTCTGTTCATCTGTTTTAATCACTATGGTTAATTGCTAAAATTAATTTGTTACTGTAATTACTATTAATTGTTCTTAACTAGTAATTAATCTAGTAATTACTGTGGTTAATCGTGCTTTACCATTCCTTTATGAACTGCAATGTGTGCTTGATTGGTCCTGCACAACTATATCTCTAATGATTTATGACTAGCTTGCCTTTGTCATCAACTATGATGATGTTATGTCCTTTGAACTTCCTTAGCTATATATCCGTAAGTAATGTGTCATTTCTAATCATGAACACCTTAAGTGATAGATCATGTCTAGTTTCCTTTCTCTTGTATGTGAATAAAACTTTCCCTTGTGCTAGTGGATAAGCACGCATTTGAAACATGCTATAAATTTGCAGCAGTATACATATTTATCCTTGAAAATTTCATATACATGGTTTTGACAAGTGAACAAAATCTGGATATGTATATGCTTTGAAGTATTTAAAATTTTTCGTGGTTTAATGCCTTCATTTATTTAAGCTATCAATATGGTGCCTTCTATAAGCTTAGTACAGAAGGTGGTAAAAGTGAATGCAGATTTGTTCAGCAACTTAAGTAGCTGTTGTCTGCAGCAGATGAGTTTTTACTCTCAAGACATGAAAATGATGAGGTTCGAACATCAATAGGAAATATTTTAAAGTTTCCATATACTGTTAAGGAACAAAAACTCATTGAGTCAACTGATTCAAGTTTTCTTGGATTAGTTGGTGTCTAAGGCAAGGTTTAGGGGTTGCGTAACACACTCTGCAAGGAACGAGGTACTTAATTAATCTTTGATCAACCTCTATTACTATCCTTACCTGGCTAACTACCCGGGCAAAACTTTAATCTTTTCACTTTAGGAGTTTTTGGTTTGGAATAAGAGGACCGGAATTATGTGAAAATTTATATGCATTTATTTAATTACGTTTCTTGCATCATATATTGCCTAATGATAAATGATCAATATATGAGCGAACCAAATCAAAGAGGTGCATCTTTTAAAATTTCTATTTTATATGGTGGATTATATTTCAAATCTTCAAATGTAAAGTTTTTTTTATTTATTGCGTTATGATGGATATTGTAATAAATGTTCATATGTCCTTTTAGATAACTTGCATTAATAAATGTTCATATGTCCTTTTAGATAACTTGCATTTGTTACATGATTAATTACAAGGTTTTTTGCAAGAATGCACTTGTAAAATTTAAAGCACGTATTTACAAATATTATTATTATTTTTATTTGTATAAGAGGTGGTACTAGAAAATGTAAACATAAATTTGAAAGGTCTCTTTTGCAGACAACCAATTTAAATTTGGAAGGTCTCATTTGTAGACAACCAATTTAAATTTGGAAGGTCTTATTTGTAGGCAACCGATTTAAATTTTGGAAGGTCTCCTTTGTAGGCAACCAATTTGTAACCTCTTATAATCGAAGAATTTTAATAATTTTTTTATGCATATAAATTATGAAGTATGAAATATATTGTTCTCTTGTATGCTCTGCATGTATCTATTATTAATTTCATTCATGTATGTGCATATGCATAATTGCAGAATTTTTAGTTCCACATTAGTTTGAAATGTTCAGATATTAAGGTCAATCTGCACAAACACTATGTGTTTACATCTTCAGACATGGACTATGATCTTTTATGATCATAGATCATGACCTAATATCAATTTCAAACAATATGATGGACTAATTACAAAATAAGAATTTGATAAATAAATACAACGCCTGCTAGGCAAAGTTGTGATTCTAGACTTTGTAAAGTCTGTGAAAAGAATCTTGTTGATCATTTGACTAAGGGATTATCGAGGAGTGTGGTTCTGGATTCATCGAGGGAGATGGGGTTAAGCCCATAGATGAGGTCACTGACAGCGACAACCCAACCCTTATTTGGAGACATAGTCCTAATGTTGGTTCAATGTGGTAGAAACAAGCTGGACTAGTGACACTCGTGTGGAGCATCGACATAGATATATTTATATATCATTATGTAGCATTTGCTACTACCCCTTCTCTATGATGACGATGCTCTTATGATACAGCTGGCTAGGCTGAGTTTTACTCTTAATAAGTCCAACGTGTGTATTATGGGGGGTATTAAATAAACAGCTGTAGTACCCTTCGAGGACTTACCTACGTGAGAGGAACCGTGATGGCCGCGATTAGGGGGGCTGGGCAAACCCCTAGAAACTCTCATGAGTCGGTTTATTGTGAGCATGGCCTTTAACGCTCAACCCGCTTTGCTTAATAGATGAAGCGTATTGTGTGTGTTTTCATCAATACCTGATTAAAGGGGCCTAATTCAAGGCCTAGTCCATTATGTCCCTCAGGTGGCGATGAACTCACTAAGGAAAGGTTCAAAGCCGGAAGCTACCTCTCCCGAATTCACGATACGAAAGGTTGCCCAACCTATATTTGTTTTATGATTTCTTGATTTATTTATTGATTTCTGAGTCTTCAGTCAATATTGTCTTTTGGGGGGGACTGTTCGATATTTTGTTAAGAAAAGACAATTTTGCCTTCATGAATAGTAATAAAAAATTTTATAATTAAAACATGTTTTTATTAGCAATTAAAAATTTGTGTAACGATTATATAATTATGGGGAACGTTACAAAATTTATGACGAATGTTACGGAATTAATTACGGGTTTTGTAACGTCTTTTCCAACCCTATATATATATATCCGTATGTTGAGCTCAAAATGATAAGAAAAAATATACAACAAGTTTCTCTTGTTTTTCTTCTCTCCCCTACATATTATTTTTATCTACATCTTAGTTTTATTTTATGGGCAACTTCCTTCATCTGAGCTGAAGCTCTGCACTCTCGCTCGAGTGCAGAGTCCGGCCATTTCCGGGGGCTTTTACCGCTAGGGGGGAGGGAACTATCTGTCAGGGCGATAGGCGAGTTCTCAATCTTCTAGGGCAGTGAATACACGACTGCTCCCGATCAGGCCAGTTTTAATTGTTTATTTTTTCGGATTTATCTGCATGCTATAATCTTAATTATTTGATAAATTTCCAACAATTTACCCCCAGGCAAATTACACTTTGATTTAAAATACCCCTCGCTGTTAACATCGTGAAATTTTAAATGGCTGTTGGGGGCAAAAAATCCAGATTTCGCTCTCCCTTTCAATATGCTGTTGGGGATGTAGTCACACTTGGGGGGATGTAGTCACACTTGGACCGGGGAGCCTGCTTCTTATGCTGTTTTGGTGTGGAGACCTCAAAAGGTACACTCTCTTTTGGTTGACATCTTTGAGAATTTGTATAATTCCTTAACTTTTGAATGGCAACATCCCTGGGTTACAGGTGGGCCGGGAGATCTCTTGTGATAAAATCGCTTCTAAAGGACTATGCTAAGCAAAACATATCTGAGGTTCGAGGCCAGATCACCATGGTTGATGTTAGTTCATGTTGATATGTCGACACGAAGTGCCGCGTTTATGGGCTTTGAAACGAGGGAAAGAGATGTTTAATGGATGCTGAACATTTGCGTTTGTAGGGAAGCAAAGAAGAGTAAAAGTTTGTGGAATGCCCCACCAGTCTTATAAACGGTATATTAATTGATGCTGTGGAGTTTGCAGATGTTGTCTTGCTGCTGCTAATCGATCGATGGAAGTTACTCTTTTGGAATGGTGAGCTCTCCTGTAAACGGACTCCACATTCATAAGATGTCTGAATTCTATGTGATGAGGAAGATACATAGAATGATATTTCACAGGACCCCTCCTCTTGAAGTTGCTTCTAATTGTCACGACTTACGAAGTTCTTTGTTTCAATGGGGGAGAGGCAATTTATATACATAGGTCTTCTCCTTTGGGAACTTTAATCTTAACCATCATGATTAACCGTAGTAGACCACTCAGCAGAAATCTAGTCAATCTGAAGTTTTATTTAAAATTTAATAGAAACAAGAAGGATATTCTGGCCTTCTGGGAAATTAACCTTTGATGGATATTTTAAACCAACGTGCATGGCTGTGGATGTAAATTTGCAAATATGATAGATTTGGGGGGATGTAGTCAAAAACATCTATTTTCTTACTTAGGAGTGGATGATTGCATATTCGTAAGGACACACACGTAGTTACAAGCATATGAGCAACCATTGTTTCTTCCATGATTAATATACATACCATTTTTATTGATGTAGAGATTTCGATCTTCATATAATTTTTTTTTCAATATAAAAATTATGAAAAATTTCATATAAGTTTCTCCAACATTTCTAACATTTCTATATAGAAATTATAAAATTACTATAGAAATGGTATGTACAAAAATTACATACAGGAGCATATATAAGTTTCTCCAATATTTTTCTATATAAAAAAAAAAATCTTTCTTTGAACAAATGACCAAATCCAATAGCCATCAAAGTAACCCAAAAACATCATCCTCAGCCTCCATTGCCATCATAATAACCCAAAAACATCATCAGTCTCCATTGCTTCATCCATGTCTAGTCAAAATAAATAATAGTAGCAAATTTGCTCTCATCCTAAAAAAAAAAGAACCCGAAAATTAATCCTTTAATTTCAACCATGGAAGCTGCATGTCTTCCAACGCTTAATCGCCACGACGCTTCATCTTCGTCTCAGTGGACGAGATCGCCGCCACAGAGACCAGACCTTGAATTCAATCACAACTTCATCTACATTTACGGTCGGATCGAGCCGGCTCGAAGCTGGGGTTGAACGTAATCAGTGGGCTACAGAGGATTGAATTTTGGGGCAGAGGAAGGGGAGGAGAGGAACAAGATGATTGTATAAGAGTCACCCGGCCGGCCCAAGAAAATCATATGGGGGCAATAATTAGAAATATAATAATGCGGAGAAAAAGCAGTTGATTTTATCGCTTAGTTGGCAGCAGGGCCGGAAATGAACCGGATAATTAATAAATAATAAATGGTTTGATAATTGTTCGAATAACTATCCGATCATATTCGATTCGGTAGTTTATTTATCACTAAACAAATATTTTCTAGTCTTCGAGTTTATTAACGTATAGAATTTAACCAGATGAATATTCGATTCGTTTGTCTATTAAATATTCGTTTAAAATTTGATCACATATATTATTGCACAATGATGTCATATTTTTAACTCCCTTACCATATCTACTTAAGTTTTATATATTGATTTTAAGACTTAAATAATTTTAAATCGGTTATCTAATTAAAATTTTGATTTGAATACATATATATCATATATTATAAAGGAATAATTTTTGTTTATGAATTTTAATACTATTTAAAAATCAAATTCTTTAGCGGAATACATATACTTTGATTAAATATACTTTGATATTCGATAAGCATTCGTGAATATTTATCTCAAATATCAAGTATTCGAGTTCGAATTCGAAAAACTAGACATACGAACATTAGAGTCCGCGTTCGAATTCGATAATTTTAAACAAATACAAACATGAACACCTCAATATTCAATTCGATCCGGTCGTTTACCAACCCTAATTGGCAGAGTATCTGAAGGTTTAAACATATTAAAAGCTCAATCTAAGAGGTAAAAACAGGTTGACTTGGTCTTTTGGGGGCTCAGATCATTTTTCGCGCTTAACATTTTCTGCTCTTAAAACAGACAGCCCCTAAAAATTCCTCACCCAAGTTTTTTTCCCACCCAAAAAAAAAAAAAGAAAAAAAAAAACCTCTCAGTCACGACCTGCAGGCATGGAGGAGGAAACCCAACCTCCGGGGTTAATACCTCCTCTCGATCCCGTCGCCGCCGACGGCGCCGCCGGTTACCAATACGATGTTGACCCTGACTACGTCCAAGTAGACCCTAGAAGCTCCCGCGCCCTCGCCATGTTCGTCCTCTTCAACATGGTTGTCATCAGCGTAATCGGTTACCTGGTAAAGAAACCCTATTTTCCCGAGATCTACGTCTCAGGCTTCGACGTCTCCTCCATCAGTCTCTCTCCGAACGCCTCCTCCCCGGCCGACGTCTTCACCGTCAACCTCGCCTTCCGTAACCCTAACAGGGTGACAGGCATCAAATACTACAACCTCCGCGCGTTCCTCTACTACGGCGAGCGTCTGATCACCGAGGCCTCGCTGTCCCCATTCCGCCAGAGGCTTGGGGGCGACGTCACGCATCTTAAAGCCCGGTTGCCGGAGAGAGCAGCAGCGGGAGGGTACGGCGCTGTTGATGAAGCTACGAGGTTTGGGGTTAGGGTTTTCTTGAGCATAAACTATACTTCCGTGCGTTTCAGGTCGGAGCCGAGATTCGACCTGAAGACTTACTGTCGTGATACTGGGGTCTCGTTGAACTACACCATGCCTTGCTCCGTTAGGTTTACCTTCGAACAGTTTAATTGTTCTTGGGGAAAATGCGAAATTGGTATAATTTGTTTTGCCTTGGTGTCGTTTTGGAATATGTTTTATTTGGGCGAACGAGGCTGCCGGCGTAGCTTCCAGCGACAAATAGTTGCAACTAATCCCATCCAAAACTATCCCCGTCTCCCTAAAATGTGAGTTGTTAATCAGTCCGGATTGTTAGTTGAGTTCAAATTAGTAGATAGAATTCTAGTTAGAATAGAATACTAGTTAGTAGATAGTTCTCTAGTTATTGGATAAGATTAGAGTTGTAATCTTAGTCCTTATATATATGTAAACAACCTATATGGTTTAAAGAACGTGAATAAAAGAAATCACAAGAGTTTCCTGCTCCAATATTTTTTTCCTGTTCCTTTACAAATCAGGTTCATCAACCAAAAACAGAGCCTTCTTTCTCTGTTTTCTTTGTTGCAGTTCGGTCTCAAGAAATCTGCCAGTTTTTTGTTCGGTTGCTACAGTGTTTACAGTTTTTCTAACTCAGTTTCAGATCTGATTCAGGCCGATCCTATTCTCAAAGCCAACAAGTGGTATCAGAGCGGTGTATGCCTAAGTACCAACCAAGATCTGAAGAGATGACGAGTTCGGAGAAGATGACGACCAAGGTGGGTTCACTCACTCTTCAATACCCGACGTTATCGAGGGACAACTATGCTTCGTGGGCAATCAAAATGAAAGTCTACATGAAGGCTTAAGATGTGTGGGATGCCATTGAGCCCGCGGCAGGCGCGTCCGTGGAACACAGGAAGGATCAGATGGCGTTGGCGGCCATCTACCAGGGGATTCCTGAAGAGACTTTGATGGTGATCGTAGAGAAGCAAACGGCAAAAGAGGCATGGGAGACGTTGAAAACAATGCATCTAGGAACGGATCGTGTGAGGAACGCGAAGGTGCAGACCTTGAAGTCCGAGTTCGAACTTCTCCGGATGAAGGAGAATGACAACGTCGACGATTTTTCGACGAAGTTGACAGGAGTCGTCAACAAGATCCGGGCTTTAGGCGGCGAGATGGAGGAGAACTACGTCGTCAGAAAGCTACTTCGGGCGGTACCGGAGAGATTCCTTACTATCGTCTCCACGATTGAACAGTTCGGGGACATCGACGACATGACACTCGAGGAGGCGATCGGGCGCCTCAAAGCCCACGAGGAGAGGGCACGTGTTTTTCGAAACAACGTCGACGATCACCTATTGTTGACGCATGCGGAGTGGCAAGCAAGGAGCAAGAAGAACGGCGGAGGCTTCCTCTCAACACCTACAACAAATGATGGTGGCGGACGAGGTCGCGGTCGAGGAGGCGGTCGAGTCGGAGTGTCACAAGCAACGCCGCAACCATGAACAGGAGGCTCATCTCACCCGTGCATATGACGAGGAGCCAACCTTGATGATGGCTATGTTAGAGGAATCGTCAAGTGTTATTTTGCTTAATGAGGAGAAGGTGATGCCGGATTTACTTACAGCGGGGGAGGCACATGTTGACAACAACACTTGGTATCTTGACAACGGAGCTAGCAATCACATGACCGGCCACCGAGACAAGTTCAAGGAGCTCGACGAGAACATCAAGGGAACCGTCAAGTTTGGTGATGGATCCGCGGTAGAGATCAAGGGGAAAGGCTCTATCCTCTTTCAGTGCAACAACGGCGATCAAAGGCTACTACCTGAGGTATATTATATTCCAAGTTTGAAATCTAACATTATTAGCCTTGGTCAGATGACTGAAGATGGAAGCAACGTTGTTATTTCTGACGAGTTCCTGAGGGTGTTTGATAGGAACGGTGCTCTCTTGATGAGGGTGACACGTTCAACTAACCGATTGTACAGGATAGAATTAAAAACTTGCAAGCCGGCGTGTTTGATGGCGAATATTAACGATCCAGGTTGGCTATGGCATGCTCGCCTTGGGCATGTCAATTTCTTCGCCCTCAAGATGATGACTGATAAGAAGATGGCTTCTGGGTTGCCGAAGATCTTGCACCCGAACCAACTATGCGAAGGATGCCTCGTCGCCAAGCAAGCAAGACTGCCGTTCCCTTCGCAAGCAAATTTCAGAGCTCAGAAGCCACTGGAGTTACTACATGCTGACCTATGTGGTCCTATCACCCCATCTACACTTGCTGGGAACAACTACTTCCTCCTTATCGTTGATGATTTCAGCCGATGGATGTGGATATACATGTTGAAGGCCAAGAGTCAAGCTTGTGAAACCTTCAAGAAGTTCAAAACAGAGGTTGAGAACGCATGTGACCACAAGGTGAAGATATTGAGGACGGATCGTGGTGGCGAGTTTTTATCAAAGGAGTTCACCAAGTTATGTGAAGAATACGGCATCAAGCGTCATCTCACTGCACCGTACACCCCGCAGCAAAATGGTGTAGTGGAGAGGCATAACCACACGATGATGGACATGGCGAGAAGCCTACTTAAGAGCATGCAGATGCCTGGAACCATGTGGGGCGAAGCGGTTAGGCACGCAGTGTACATCCTCAACCGACTACCAACCAAGGCGTTGCATGACCACACACCTTACGAAGCTTGGTTTGGTAAGAAACCCCACCTAGAACACTTGAGAGTTTTCGGATGTGTGGCGCATGTGAAAATTGCAGGTCCTTCACACAAGAAACTCGACGACCGGAGCACGCCAATGGTGTATATTGGGGTAGAAGAAGGAAGCAAAGCGCATCGCCTTTATGATCCTCAACACGGCAGAATTCAGGTCAGTAGGGATGTCGCGTTCGAGGAAGGAAAAATATGGGAATGGAGCGCCGATGGAGTCGAAAGATCACCTAACTGGACGGAGTACACAGCGGAACGGGAGACTACAACAACCGGAGGAATTTCAGCTGTCCAAACTGGACAGACTGCTGCCCGAAGAGGGGAAAATCCTGCTGGCCGAACAGCCCCTGCAGGAACACTTGCTGGCCGAACCAACACACTGCAGCTGGGCGCTGCTGCTGGCCGAACGTCCCCTGCAGGAGCTCATGCTGCAGCAGAGCTGACCAGAGATGAGCCTGGACAGCCGGCACACCAAGCAAGGCAGCCACCTACTGCCCGAAATAGTCCACAGTCTGCTGCAGGTTCAGAAACAGCTGCTGTGGCAGCAGTTCCAGCGACGTTAGAACTGTCCGGACCTCCTGAAGCAGCAACGATCACCCCTGTACGCTATCGATCCCTTGCGGACATCTATGCAGAGACGGAGGTGATTGATCTCCCTGCAGAGGAGCTGTTCCTGATCATTGAAGAACCCGCGAACTACAGTGAGGCTGCAACAGATCAAGAATGGCGGACTGCCATGGAGAAGGAAATGGAGGCCATCGAGAAGAACAAGACTTGGATACTCACGGAGTTACCGCGGGGTTCCAAACCCATTGGTCTCAAATGGGTGTACAAGCTGAAGAAGGACAATGAAGGCAACATTCTCAAGCACAAAGCAAGACTTGTAGCAAAAGGGTACGTCCAGCAGCAAGGCGTGGACTTCGATGAGGTGTTTGCACCTGTGGCGAGGCTTGATACCATCAGAATAATCCTCGCTATATCAGCACAGAACGGGTGGGAGGTGCACCATTTGGATGTGAAGTCGGCATTCCTAAATGGTGATCTCCAGGAAGAAGTGTATGTGGTTCAACCTGAAGGGTTCGTTGTGAAGAATCAAGAGCACAAGGTCTACAAGCTTTCAAAGGCACTCTACGGTCTACGCCAAGCACCTCGGGCATGGAACACGCGCCTCGACAAGTGCATGAAGGGCATCGGATTTGCAAGATGCACTCAGGAGCAGGCGGTATACACAAGGAGTAACAGAGGGGATACACTCATTGTTGGCGTGTACGTGGATGACTTGATCGTTACGGGCTCGAGGACGGATGAGATAAAGTTTTTCAAGCAACAGATGATGAAGGAGTTCGAGATGAGTGACCTTGGGTTGCTTTCCTATTATCTTGGTATCGAGGTGGATCAGCGAGATGATTGCATTACACTAAGGCAGGCGGCCTATGCGAAGAAGGTTTTGAGTCAGTTCGGGATGATGGATTGCAACCCGACTCAATATCCTATGGAAACAAAGCTAAAGCTTGGAAAGGATTCTGAAGGAACACCGGTGGACGTGACGGAGTATAGACGCATTATCGGATGCTTAAGGTATCTAACTCACACCCGACCCGATATCACATATGCCGTGGGGATTGTGAGTAGGTACATGGAGCACCCTACAGTTTTGCATAGACAGGTTGTCAAGCATATTTTGAGGTACGTGAAGGGTACTATGTCCTACGGATTGGTGTACAAACGAGGTCGAGGCAATGAAGAGTTGGTGGGATTCACTGACAGTAGCCCAAGCCGGTCACACTCTTCGTCGACAACAAGTCCGCGATTGCCTTGATGAAGAATCCAGTTTTCCATGGAAGAAGCAAGCATATTGACACACGCTTTCACTTCATTCGTGAGTGTGTTGAGCGAGGATAGATTAAAGTGGAGTTCGTGAGCACGAGCCAGCAGCGAGCGGATATTCTCACGAAGGCATTAGCAAGGGTGAAGTTCATCGAGATGCGGGAGCTTCTAGGAGTAAGGGACTTGGAATCTCGTCCAGATTAAGGGGGAGAATGTGAGTTGTTAATCAGTCCGGATTGTTAGTTGAGTTCAAATTAGTAGATAGAATTCTAGTTAGAATAGAATACTAGTTAGTAGATAGTTCTCTAGTTATTGGATAAGATTAGAGTTGTAATCTTAGTCCTTATATATATGTAAACAACCTATATGGTTTAAAGAGCGTGAATAAAAGAAATCACAAGAGTTTCCTGCTCCAATATTTTTTTCCTTTCCTTTACAAATCAGGTTCATCAACCAAAAACAGAGCCTTCTTTCTCTGTTTTCTTTGCTGCAGTTCGGTCTCAAGAAATCTGCTAGTTTTTTGTTCGGTTGCTACAGTGTTTACAGTTTTTCCAACTCAGTTTCAGATCTGATTCAGGCCGATCCTATTCTCAAAGCCAACATAAAACACCTAAAGCTCACCACATTGAGGTCGATGGAGGATTTGAAGAGGTTGAAGGTCTGGGAGGCGTCAGAGAGGCAAGAGGAGTGGAGGAGGGAGGAGAGGGAGAGGTGGAGGAGGAGGAGGAAGGAGATTGAGGGGTTAGGGTTTGGGATTGAAGCTGATTTATGACGCTAGCAGCCACGCTAGCAGCCACGTTAGCACCATGTGAGGCGTCACATGAGAAATTTTGCCGGAAATTTGGGTCCGGCCAAATTTGAGGTTCATTTATCGCCGGAGAAAAAATAATATACCAATATGTCGCCAAAAAAATATGTATACCAAACTGTCATTAAGGGTAAACGAAATATACGAATTTGGTATTTTTATCAATTTTTTCCTCTAGAAATTATAATGTTTAATTTTTTTCGCTAAAAAGGCCAATTTGGTCCTTGCGGCTTTATTATTTTTTCTCAACTTCGTCTTTAGCTAGGTTTCATATTCAAATTGGTGCCCCTACTTTATTTTAACTTTTAGAATTTTGCAGTAAACTCCCAATAACTTTCAACATCAATCGAAATCTCCTTATAACTTTCAAAAAAACCCACTAAACCTTC